GCGCTATTTATAAGTGTGGCCGCTTGCATGTACTTCCAAACAGGACCTAACCTGTCTAGATCAATCGCTAGCTACTAGATACATGTATAACTGGTTTTAATCTGCATAAGCTTTCTTTTATTTCATAGTTTATCCTCTGTCATAAAAAAACAAATTAATCTAATTCGCCGTTAATAAGAACAAATATTTTCCTTATAACATAATTATAATGCTTGCTGATACCACGTTTTAACTCTTAGAAGTTTCTAAGTATGTTCCTTAAAAAATCAGAAGAATTGATGTGCATGTTTTTTGACATGTTTTGTTTTCCAAATTACAACGTTTGTTTGGTTGGATTCTCAGTCACACCAATACTGCAATGGTTAAATTGTGACTTCGTCGCTTGAAAAACGTTTTGTTCTAAGTGCAAATTTGTTGTTTTTGAGCAAAAAGCATGTAAAGATTTAGTATTGCATAACTTTTTTATTTATTGTCGGATTTTGAAAATTTAAAAACTACTAAACGTGGAGTCGGGAGAACAACTCAATAACGTTAAAATATGTGGAATTTGATATTTCCTTGCTTAAAAACCTAAAAAACATTTGGAGATAGAACAGTTCTTGTAACTTTCTTTCAAAAAATTGTTAAAATCAGAGTGTTCAATGTGACTTAGAACATTATGTCTTTTAAGTTGAATTGATTTATATAATATAAACAGTATGTTTTATCTTTAAAAGGCTGCCAAAAATGCTCTCGGCTAATTATCCCTTGATTAGTTGACTTTGACACTACACTTTTTCTTAGACCATATATATCTAACTACATGAACTATGACATTCGAAATCTTATTAAAATCCTTAATCCATTACATTATTAAATGACATTTAAACACATAATTTAAATAAATAAAGATAAAATACCCACATAAATTTTGTAGACATTTAATCTATTTTTAATAACTTTGGCCACATTCAAAGTTATTCAATGTCTGGAAAAAAGAAAAGTTACAGCCGCAAACGGGAAAAGAAAACTTTCAAATTTTCTAGAATGCTGGGAAAATCTTTCAAGATTTTTTTAATGAAAATTCAAAGATGGTCAAATTCAAATTCCTTCAAAAGTATGAAATAGTAGTAATTATTTTGTTATGCGCTTTACACGTTCTGTGTGTTGGTAAGAAGTTCTTATAATTGAAGGTAGGTAAAATGTTTCTATAACTTAAATAGGCAATGAAAACATATCTGCTAGAAAAGACCTTAAAGGTGGAGCAGGCATGACTTATATTTTAAAAATGTCATATTTAAAGATTGTTCGTGTACAAAAACATTACAAACATAATGCTATATAAATATTCATTAATTAAGAAATTCAAAGTCAAATTACAAGACAAACAAAATATACGTATAAGAATATTTTTCTTCCTTTCTGTCTTTGGTATAAAATGTGTTTACTTTAAAACAATCTATTAGTTATATAACATTAAGGCATTCGAAAACATATATTATATGTAAACGTATTATATCTATAAATTTTCTTAAAGGCCTTTTTTTGCCCCCAGAAATGCTTTTATCTTAATCTCTCAAAAGCTTGATATTTGGAGTTCTGTTATAGTTTCCAAAATATTCAACATCGGTCAGTAACCTAAACCATCTTTTGCTTTTGTTTCATATTGGCAATGAGTACAGTCAATTTTTCAAACTCATATGTGTCTTTTATAAAGATGAATAATTGGTTTCTGAGACAGAAGGTACCTTATGTTAAAGAAACTTTAAAACATATAACAAGTTTTCTTTTTTACGAATTTGTTTGATGAAATTGTATCACAGTTGTTTCTATCCGAAAATATACATCCGAAATTACTTTCAAATCATGATCAGTTTTGCTTGCTGTTTAATTACATGCAGTAAATTTACAGGACTTAATACTAAAATGTCAATAATTGGAGGGAATAAATGAATACATAATATCATTCAATACTTATATTTAGTATTAATATATTAAATAAACAACAAACCATCTAACTCAAAATGTTTCGTACAACATGGCGGGTGTCCTGCTATCACGTGATTTGATGCTATGTTTTGATACGATAATTTTGGATTTAGAACAGTATGTTGCATATATCCCATAGGTCATGTGACATTTATCGATGATATGATTAGTCCAGTAAGTTAGAAACAGTCTATTTAGCAAGACATAGTAAATTTGTGGAGATAGAACAGGATGGTTTCGTTTGTAATTTATTTATGAAGCTCTGAAGCACTAATATAACATGCCAAGGAGATAGAACAGTCCATTACGGACAAAATTGTGTATTTAACTTGTTTTTGGAAAAATTGGAGATAGAACATTACAGTTTTCAAGCGACTACTTGCCAGGAGTAGAAACCCCGACGTCTGGTGTAAGAATACAATGTTCCTGGCGGACTTCGAAACAACAGCAGCTAGGGCAAGTTGATTGATTTCGGACGCCCCAAGTGTAATGTATCTTTTAATAAAATGAGAAATAGCCGATTGACCCCGTACAAACATTATTGATTACAAACACAAGAATAATAAATAATCCCGTCATAAAAATGCTTGCATTATTTTTTATCCTCCCACCGAAATAATTGTCAACGTAGGAAGATTTGCATACTAATTTTATTCGTATTTTCAGGGCATGTTTGTTTGATTGTTTGTTGTTTTTTTGTAGATACATGCATTTATACATACCAAACTCTATTCTATTTATTGTTTTTCTGTATTTTACTTTAATATCTCATTGTTTTCAAAGACCTATTTGGTAATATGAAACTAAGTATTTGAATCTAAAGTTTTGTTGTTGTGTAACAGGTGCATATGGCATTTTTATTTTTGCACCGGCTTAAGCAAAATTCAACATTTGAACATAAAAAAATAGTAAAATCTCAAATAAGAAACATCCCCATATGTAAGACGATTCTATGCAATAGATATCTGGAAACAAAGTGATCCCTCAGAAGCATTAAAAAAATCAAAAACAGCAAAATTACATGAAAATTGCAGACGCGGTTTGATTTAGTCTGTTCATGAAGGATAATGTTAAAAGTGCAATATCCCTTACGCCCCCTAGCACCGGTTTGAGCAAGTTTAAGTTCCCAGCCATGCTCAGTAAGCTTAGCACAGCAACTACATTTTTGATGATCATAAGTTTGATCCTCTTATTTTGTTTTAAGTTCAAAAATTTTATAAAAAATTGACATTTCAGATTTTAGTTTATTTTCTGCTTTTCGCAGTTAGATTGGATTTATTTTTCATGTTTCATAAACATTAACTTTTTTGTTATTATTAAATATTACATTGTTACATGACATACAGCTGTTGAGAGGAAGACTGGTAGTTATCTAGCTATACCAAAAAAAAGCAAGAAAAGTTATCCCCACGCCCCCTATCACCGCTTAAAGCAGAATTCAACATTTACCAACACCAAAATGGTGAAATTTTGAATTAGAACATCCTATATTAGATGTAATAATTATACTAAAGTCGGTCAAAGTGGATTTACTTGACTAGAATGAAACAAAAACATATCTTCCTGCTAACAGGCTTAAATTTCACCACTTTTCGTGTTCTCAGTGTTGCCGGGTGCGAGGGGGGGGGGGGGGTGGGGGGCGTGGACGTAACTTACCAATTTCTTGTACCTTCATTAACAGGTCCAATCAAACCGTGCCTACAACATTTTCAATTTTGTCGGTTTTTGGCGTTCTTTATGGATTTAGTTTAACTCTCTTATAGTTTACAAAGCTTTCGTCATTTTAATTTTTTTCTTGCTGATTTTTTCTCCTTTTTTTACAATTTCATAATGAAAGCTTGTTTCAGTAGCAGTATTATGTAGAGTATATTATCCTCTTTAAAAAGTTAATTCCCTTAAGCGTTGTAATAATTCTATTTTTCCTACTATAATATTTTCTGATGTTATTTGATATTTTTTTGTAATCAAGATTGACTATAACGTACAACTTTATTGCTATTTAATTCAATCGACATGAAAGTGTAAAAAATGTTATTTAAAAAATTGATAACAATGTTTAAATTTGCACTTCAAACTTGTAAATAGGCAATTTTACGCCGCAACTAATAAAAAATACCTTGTCAAAATCAAATCTTTATCTAAGTCTTAGGCAGTAACGTTTAAGTACGTTTATAAAGCTTGTTATTGTCTGTCATTGATAGATTATTTTGACTAGTTTTTGATTTAAAAAATACATGTACCTTTACATATTAAGCTGAGAACGGCTCACGTTCAAGAAATAAAATCAGTATCTCAAAAACTTAAACCGGTGACTAAATTTAAGAGTAGCAATATATAATTTATAAATTTGTGGAAATACAAGAACAAATTATAATTTGTGGAAATACAAGAACAAATTAAACTTCCTGGGCGATATTTTACGGCCGCAACGTATAGCTAAAACTTTGTTGTGGGAGTAATAAACAATCAACAAATCATAGATAACCGCTGATATTAATTAAATTATCTTAACCTCAATGGTTGCGCTTGGTGTCTTTTTGTGTCTTTAACTGTAGGACGGAAATATTGTAGATATTTCAAGATTTGTGATACAAAAACCATAAACATAGTGCAAAGTCATTCCTTGAATATCATTTTAGTATATATTTATTCTATCACTGTTACAAATATAGATTTAAAGTTTACAAGTGTATTGTTTTACAAACCATTGTTTTTGTTGCTAAGTTATTTTAACAATCATTTCTGAGACAACGAAAATATACCTTTATCGAATCGTCTGCAAGATATTCACACTTTACACGGGTATATTAATATATGAACTGCGTCACGAAAAAAACCAACGTAATGCGTTTGCGACCAGCATGGATCCAGAACAGCCTGCGCATCGGCGCAGTCTGATCAGGATCTATGATGTTCGCTATCAGTTTCTCCACTTGTAATAAATAGGGTTTGTAAGCGAACAGCATGGATCCTGATCAGATGGTCTGGATCCATGCTGGTCGCAAACGCATTACGTTGGTTTTTTCGTGACGCGGCTCATATTATTTTTTTGCTGCGTGACTCATATACTCTTATCTCACTTTATATTGTATTTGAGAGGTTTCTTAACTTGAAACTGTTCAAGCATAAATCATTAACTAAAGGTACATACATATATAGTTACATGTAAGCACTTGTAATCAAAGTTGATAATAACATATCTAAATGTAAGCAATTAATAATCTATATGTAAATGTAGTCAAACTTATTGATCCCTTTGTATTTAAGAATGTCAATAAATTTATTAAGATAGCTGTTTGCTGTTTCTAACATCCATGTAGCTAGTTTAATTAGGCATACTGCATCGTAATCCACCATTCTGAAATTTGTAGAAATAACAAATTAGTTTAGATTATAGGAATTTATCTTAGTACGATTGTATCGGAAGCTATAAGCTTACTGAAACACTATCGAATCCGTTCCTAGAGCTAACAAGTACTAAGCAAAGAGTGTAAAGATTCTTACTCAAGGAAACAACGGATTGTCCCTGACTGGGTTTGAACACACGCGGCCAGCGATCCTTAGATTACTAGCTATAACCTGACGCGTTAACCACTCGAGCAAGCTGCCACATAAGTTAAATGATAAATAAATATGTTTCAATAACATGCTAAATAAGTCCTTGAACTTGCAAAATTGAAATAAACAACTTAATAATGAATATCTTTTTAATAATAGTCATTTGATTTTTTTCATTCTACCATAATTACACGTAATGCTGGGTATACATGTATATGAATATCACTACTTAGAGTAACTTAAGACATAAAAAAATTGAGAGTCAGCGAACTAAATTTGAATTATAATTCATGCCAGTAAGATTTAAAAATATGTGTTTTCTTGTAAACGATTTAAAAAGAAATCGTTAAAATGTGATTTCACGAGTAAAGCAAAAAGATCAAAACTATACATACACTAGCGCCACCCCGACCTGAAAGAAACGCAATTATAATAATTAATGAACATGATTTTAAATGTATTTTCTTAATAACTTAATAAGAATAAAAAAAGAATATATAATATATGTTAAAACAACAATTAACAAAATCAAGTAAACAAGAATATTGCCTCTCATTTATTATTTTACGCTGAATAGATGTTTAACATACTTATAATAAAAAGTAAGAACAAACAAGCAAAAGTATATATTTCCTCCGATTAATGATATGGTTAATAGATGTTGAACATACATGATCCAAGTTGAGGAAGCCCCCCTCTGTTGGACCTGAAAAAATCATATCAATTCTTGTTAATTCTTAAAACAAAAACACGCAAAATACCTCCAAAAGAGCTACAAACTCCATGTTATCGGGGCTGTTCAAGATAAACAATGGCACCGTTTTAAGAAATATTTTATCTTAAGTATTCAATTATTGTTTATTTCAGAATTCCAGAAAATTTGACCACCCCCTTATGGCCTGAAGGTTTGCTTTTAAGGGTTGCGACATCAGATTTACAGCCACCGTTTATCCCTGCGTGATCGTAAAAGGCGACAAAATGAATTATTGGAGTCTATGCATCTCTTAGCAGGTGAGGTGATTTTGACCACTGGCGTTGCTTTAAAGTTGTAAAACCCGAGCAAAATCCATCTTTCCTGTTTCTGCGCTATATGATCTAAATTGTGCTGGTGCGCCGTAAAACAAAAGTTGATAAAAGTAAATAGCGATGTCATAGAGATTACCTTATTTCAAAAATGATATGTTTATTTAGATGTTGATAGACGTAAAAAAACTATTATAATGTTTATAACTGTAGGCCTTTAAGTAAAACAGAAATTATTATGGTTATATTGTGATTTTCAGCTCATTTTTATGGTGGAGGAAGACCTCAGGTGCCCCCATTTGTGCATATATATCAGGCAGGAGAGCACCAGCGATTTTCAGTAAGCTAGCTGGATAAAGAATATAAAGCCCCTAGCGAGATTCGAACTTTTAGCGGCGAAGCGGCAAGTCAATGTCAACGAGCTTTAAATGATAATACAACATACTATTATTGTGATTATTCTTACCTGCCGTAACTTCCATAGGGATTACGTCCTTCTGAAATCAAATGCCGACAAATGTCATTATAAAATGTTTCATTTTTTTCTATGTTTATATGATGTTACATTTTAAAAGATATCTCAGTAATTGTTAGACTGTGTATATCAAGAATTTATATGAATAGAATCAACGGTTTCATAGTATTCTTTGGTTGTTTTAAAGGGACTTCACTGGGGTTTTTTGACATGACTTGACAGGATTTTTTTTTGGAGATTAACATTCCATTTGATGCAGTGCTAGAACCAATATTTGTGTGCAAAATTTCAGATCATTAGCCCACTACGTTTTCCAAGAATGATTAGATCTATTTTTATTTTGAAAAAAGACCAAAAATTGGAAAGCGTTGAAACACTTTTCAATCAAATTGGGCTGAGTATTTTCCACTATCTTATGCATATCCAATAACTATCTCAATAAAATGATAAATAATATATCAATTATACCAACAAATATTGATATCTTTCTGGTTCAAGTGCGACAGCTGATTCATACATATACGAAATTCAAATTTTATGTTTTTATGCTTTTGAACGTCAGTATAGTAGAGTTCATTTAAAACCTATAACACGTCGTAACGCTTGAAGCGCTTTAAAAAGTAATTGCTGGAATTCGCGTTGACAGTTTTATAAAAAAATTGAAACTTATCAAATTCATAAATTAATGATTTATATAATGTACTAAGAAAACAATGGTGGCACGCGAATTGACATAAGATATTTAGCGTGAGTCACTTTATGTAAACTTACTGTGAGCAGATTGGTACTCTGTCCTCTGTTCATTCCTGCGCCCAGTAATCTTTGAAGCAGCCAGTTTACCACTGTTATAAAAAACATATACCCAACTTAAATATATAATTTCCCAATGCAATATTATAAAATTTATTAGCAGAAAAATGATTTTGTTTTTATAATATAGAATAAAGAGTTGTAAAATGGATTGTCCCTAATATTAAACACAAAATAATGTATCACAGTATATAAACAAATATCTGGAAAAAAGTGATCCCTTTGAAGCATCAAAAACAACAAATTTGCATGAAAATTGCAGACTCAGTTTGATTGAGTCTGTACATGAGGGATAATGAAAATGTGTAACAACCCTCATTGGAGCGGTACTCAATGCAATTTTCAACGCTTAATAATTGCTGGCATCAATGATCCCGAAGGATCAGAAAAATATAACAACACTGAAGTGAAGTACGGGGGCAACTTTTTTGCAACACAGCACTTTACACCTGCTACGGTGATGTATAAATATCTGGAAAAAAGAGTGATTATGAAGGGCTTGACATATATTATTAGTTATAAAGATTTTTGACAGGTTGTATGACCCCATTTAAACGGCTGTTTGGAAATATAGTGCAAACAACCGTTTACAATCGATGAACTATGTAAAAAGTCAGATAAAAAAATGCATGATTACATTAGGTAATATTTCCATTCTTTAATCATAATAAGTTTAGTTTTATAAACGTTTCTATGGAAACCTATGTCAGGATTAACAAATGAAAGAAATACAGATTCAATGATTATTGTTTTTTTTTTGGTTTTGTTTTTTTGGGTGATAAGCTGGTTAGTGTTTCCTTGAAAACCAAACGGTGTGCAGTAATATCATATTTGCAAGTTTGTCAGCAATTTGATTTTATACTTATAGCATTGTATATACAGTATTAAACATTGATTTTTACTTGCATACTATTTGATAAAGCAGATCAAATAGTTCATGTGATGCCGTTCAAAAATGTGTGAGGTCGACTGAGAAAAATGGTACAAAGGATGTTGTTTTTGTGAATAAATTAAATGGTTTTCTGTTAAAAGATCTAATTGTGACGTCTTCATAATTGGCAAGTGTGACGTCTTTATCATATGCAATTGTGACGTCTACATTATTGGCAATTGTGACATTTGCATAATGTATAATTAAATAAAAATGAATAAGATTGAATTATTAATGATTTCTTAAAAGCAATATCATTTTATTATAAAATACAATAGAACGTAATAATATATAATGAAATTCATGTAAATGATAATAAATCAGGAAACTACATTTTACTCTTCATTAAAGTGAAGATTGTTTTCATTTCCTCTTCAAAAATGATATTACCTAGTACGTTAAATCACGAATTTTTAACTGATATAGCCTATTAATCCAACCGTTTCAATTCAAACATTGATAATAAATAAGGCTATTTTTTATTTCTATGAGCCCTTTTGTTTTCTCCCGCATTGAGGACCTTTTGTGCTGTTTTTAAAATTTCATTCCATACTCAAATGAATATTAAAATTGTCATTGGTTGTTGATTGTTCCAATAAGTTTTAATGATGAATTTTGAGAATACAGATGTCTGGAATGCGATCATAACTATCAAACTTCACACATAATGACCTTGTAATCTACACATTGAAGACAATATGTTTGTTTAGTAACGCAAGTGATGCAATTTGTTGTTTCTTTCTATGTTGTTGGATTTTTTGAAGGCCAATTCTTTTATATGTTAATTTTTTCTGCTATATTTTTTTGAAACTGCGACGCATACATAACGAGTTTTATACACACCGATCTTTACATGTATATTCGACTTATCGTTTATCACGAAAAAACGTTTATTCGACTCATCGTTTATCACGAACAATCGAAATATTTCCATAGCCTGAAATCAAACATAATCACTTTTCACATATTAGAAAATTATCAACAAATACCTTAGAAATATTCTTAATGTATATTATAAAGTTAAAAGGTTTAGGAAAGATATTATATTTACCTTCAGTGACATTCATCTATCGTTCACAATGATTAAAGCATTTATTAATTCAAGGATACTTCATATTGCCTGAAAGTGATATACATTAAGCATTTTTTAAATCCTCTATGAAGATAATTATAACAGAGAAAATTCCAAGGAATCAATTAATAATTTTCTTTGTTCTAGATAAGTAAAAAAATGACAACATTGAACATTTATTTTGAAGATAAATTATTCATTAAGATAAAAAAAAATTAAATCCTGTGTATTAAACAAATATGATTTTATATCATATTAACATGAAAAGATCGCCAAATAATATCTGAACTAACTCCCGATAGAAATTATATTGTTTTTTTTTTCTTTGTGCTTTTTGCTTTTGTTGTTGAAAACCAAAACAAAAAATTACCTAATATGGACGTGTAACAATTGGATAAATGCATTTAAAAACTATTTATAAACTGTTTATATTTGAAATAAACAATATAATCAAAACGACGTGTAGCATCTATTCACCGTCAAACACCCCATACATTGTACCTCGAAACCAAAACCATGTTGTATACATTTAATGATCTTTCCTTGAAACCTTACTGCAAGAAATATATACACATTACGCACTATGATAAAATACAAATACGAGACTTCATAAAATATACGAATAACTTATCCCATTACTATGTCATTGACTGTCAAGTCCATAAAAGCAGATGTTGTTAATGTAATACTAAATAGAACGAAGCAAGGATTTATTAAGATAATCCAAAAATCACTAAAACAACAAAAATGCGACATTTTGTTCATTAATACCAAGTAATCAAACTACTACCTAAAACCTCACCGCTGTTTAGACAAGAGTTGAATCGTGATATTTGTACATTTGTGTTTTGTTGGTTTGTTTATCAATTAGAATTTATAGTAAAAGAGAAGTACATGAAAATCGTGCATTGTCTACATCTCAACTACAACAATAATGACTGGAATAATAGATGACTAACAATGAACTGTATTTTATACGATATTACAAAGTAACCGTCCGGTTTGTATATTTATAATGTTTCACTTGTTTTAATTCTTATGTTTTTTTTCCACATAGATGTATACAGCTTTCTGCTTAATATAATAAAGTTTAAAAACTGATTTTGATTCTTTATGTACATTCGTTGCGAAACAGAAGTTTCATTTATATTTTTAAATTTTCTTTTTGTCTACATATTTATAAGAAATAAAGTTATATAATTGAATGTTTCATGATGTGGCACTCTTTACGTTTTTCATGTCATTGGATTGATTTTTCTGATGATGAAGTGTATGCCTGATAAATTTAGCTTTATCAGTCACCCTCAGCTTTATTGAAGTAAATAAATATAAATACATGTATATGTTGAAATAATTAATATTAAAATAAAATATAAAGAGAATAGAATAGTATACCTCTTTCTAGTTTGAAAATATCAAACTCATAATTTTTGAATCAAATATAATCTGTAATATTAAAGTCTCTCTTACAGGATTTCTTCATGAGGGTGAAAGAAGAGGGCGGGCGGGTGGGGGGTTCCAGCTTACTTACGGAAGTCGTTGTTTCTACTCAGCTGCCCGCTCGTAACCGAAATAATGCATTTAAAGACACATATATCTTTTCTGTTTAATTAACCATATGTTAAATCAACTGAAATATATTTTTTGAACATTTTAGGTCCCGCCAAGATGTACTTCACGTACAATATGAGCACGAGAAAGTCGTGCATTTCACTAGTTTGTGTGTTATGTTTGATAGTTCTTGTGATCTACATTACATCAGAACGGCAACTGATGGCATTTTATGTTGAAGGTATGTATTAACTAATTGTTTATTATATTAATATATTAACAACACATTTACTTGTATCCGTTTTTATATCCGTGTGTTTTATGATGATGTTTTCCCTTGCATTAATCTGCCTGAAAGGAACTCCACTGAGGTCCAATTGTCTAAAATGACAAAATTTGAAATTATTTCTAAAATCAACTGGTACACTTAAATTAGAAACCAAGCAATAGATGGTATAATACACGGTATTAAATTGAAAATACATTTTTATGCGATTTTTCGCCGAAAGGAGGGTCACCCCTCCCCCCTAACCAAAGAAGGGTCATGTCCCTCCCTTAACCCAAGGAGGGTCATGTTGCCCCTTTCCCACTTTCCATTATATGTATGCAAGACGGAATATTAATATTTTCTCAGCGGAAAACTCTAAAAAAAACTATTGTTACTTACGTATACCATAAAATAAGTAGAAATAAATGAATTAAAACTTAGAAAAAAAAAATAAAGCGAAAGAGATGCAGGGATATTACAATATAACCTACAATTATCTCTTAATTATCTACATACTCAATCAAAACCGAACTGTAACATTTTCAATTTTGTTGTTTTGGGCAGATGTACAGCCAACTAAAGTTTTAAAATATTCAGCATAGGAAATATAAATAAATACTAGAATAAAAATTTATCTTAACGTTATTACAGTTACAATTAAGGATAATCCATCATGCATTGATATTCTACTCACAATGTCTATTTGTCACGTTAATTTTTATTTTCCTATCCAGAAAGCAAAATAGGGAGAAATATCAAAATCCATAATGCGAGGACAGATTCTTTGACGAAAAGTTATTCCAATCAGGATATGGTAGGAGATAACAGACAGAAGGACATAAAAACAACTCCTCCTGTTTCATCATCAGCACGGTCGTCTAACGTTAAATCATTTTCATCACACTTGACAACAGTAGAACCCCCTTCAAGTTCCATACAATCGGAATCACATTTAACATCAACGTCTGTGAGCAAAGTGAGCCAAACGAGACTTCACAGTTCTCAGAGTTACACTTCTTTGTTAAGTTCTACTAGCACTATGAAAACCAGCTCAACTAGCATCTCAGAGACACAGGCCTCAGAAAGTAGTTCCGGTACAATGACATCCACCGGACATATCTCTTCAGAATCACATAGGACACCGCTTGTTGCTCTTAAAAACTCAAATAATGTAATTCATAATGAACTCGATGCGTCAAAAGATTTTGTG